TTCTATGCACCTAACATACTCATTCAGGGCAAGAATGCCTGGCATTTTCATGCTGCATGGCTGAGCCTGTCTCCTCCCTCTGTCAGTTCCCAGAGGGCAGGTGCTGTGACTGCCACCTCTTTCCTGTCCCCACCCAGTAATGCATTCCATTTGCACCTTAGCTTCACTGGGCCACTCCCAGCAAGATGAGAAGGCCAAGCCCACCGAAGATAGCAGTCATAAATAAGGGAGGAAGTCTGCTTCTTTCAGGCTGGAAGTTGAGGCTCTGGGGTTCTTGCTGGGCTTGGACCGTAGTGATGGGATGAGCTAGCCTTACTGTGTGCCCGTATCACCCCATGCCCCATTTAGTGAGCTCTCCTGGGGAGAGAGAATTGAGCAAGACCACTTTACCATACGCACCTCCTGAGCCAGGAACCTGAGGGGGAGCCTGACAGACTTTGTCTTCCTCTCCGAGATAAGATTCACAAACCTGGGGTTGGGGGAGAAATGAGTGGCACAGCCCAAGTAACTGTTTTACTCAAACCAGTGGGGCTTCAAAACACCTTGCTGAATTACTGACACCTTGCATTTCCACAACCTTTCCACCGACTGTTCTGTCCTGTTCTTATGGTTAGTGTCAGCCAGAGCAAAGACAGTTCCAGTCCAGTCCAACATTTTTGAGGGTCTGCCCTCTACTGAAGCCATACAGATGAATAAGACACTGCTTTGGCTTTGAAGAGTTCAGTCTAGGATAAATAGTCATGACATAATATAGCATGTTTATGCTAGAACATACTATGTTTCAAATGCTAGAACAAAGGACTATGTCAAATGATATGGGGAGCACAGCTAAATAATGGAGAAAGCAAAAAGAGCTAGGAAGGACCTCAAGGCAGACAAGAGAAATAGGATGAGATGAGTAAAATCTTTGACAGATGAGGAAACTCAGTAGCAGCCTTTTTCCCTGATGTGCATGAGACAGCAAGAACCACTCTGAGTCACTTTGCAAGTCAGGGACTCCTAGCCCATGTCTCTACTTCCACAACTCAGCAACCTTTTGGAGAAGGGGAAAGGGTAGTGCTAGGTATAGATGGGGTAGAGTTGGAGAATCCACATTAAATCATGGTCAGGGACATTGAACCATTCTGAAAAGTTCCTCTGGCTGAAAGAGTTAGAGGAAAGAAAGAAATCAACCTGTCAAAGCTGGAGGAGACCCACAGAGATCACTGGTCTGAACCACCCACACCCCACATTGTAAGAAAGAGAAGGAAAGAAAAATGGGAGAGAAGGCTCTCAGGAGAAGAAAAAGAGGAATGTGTGTTGACAGGGGATAACAAAAGCTGTCAAGTCAAGCAATCACAGGGTGACCCATACACAGGGACGCACAGGGCTTTTTCCTTCAGGTAGCACCTGAAGCCAAGATTTGCTTATCACATGCTACCCCACCCCACCTCTGCCCCCCAAACCACCCTCCACCCTTACCCATGTAGGTCTTACCTGACCAATGCCATGCCATAGAGCAGTCTAAGTTCATCAGTGCCCAAGCCACCAGTTACATCCAAGAGCTTACAGCGTACCAGGTCAGCAGTAGAAGCCACTGCCAGGGGGAGTTCGTTGCCTAACCTAAAGAGCCACAGTCCAGCACCATCATAAAGGTCCCTTAACACTGGTCCACCCTCCACCTCAGAACCTAGATTGCTGTAGGCTATTCCAAATACAGGGGTGTGCAAAAGTAGGTTTACATTGTGAGAATGCGAAACACATAGTTTATTCTTGTGTTATTATTTATTAATTATTGTATTTATTTGTATTATAACTGTAAACCTACTTTTGCCCACCCCTGCCTATATTGACTCAAATGTAATGAACAGACACAAATCAAGAAGGTGGGAAGAGAAAGGGTAACGGCCCTGGGATCCAATAATATACAGGGCATGAGAGGTTGACTAGGTTACACAGACATCAGACTGTTACGCTATCAACCAACAATTCAGCGTGGACACAGCCCTTTCTTTCCCCTTAAAACCTCAACTCATCCTGCTAAAGAAGACCCTTACTCCTTGAAGCTTTTATACCTTGTCTGCTTCCAAATCAATTTTACCAACTGGACTGAGGCGCCCCGTTCAAACTTGGTTTTGCAGACAAGCTCCCTAATTCAAATCGGAAAGCCACCCTAGGATACTAACCTACTCCTTAAGCCCTAGCTCGGTCACACCGGTCCCTCTGGCACCTTCCCCAAGATAGGGAAAGAAAAGGTAAAAGGTCGCAGATTTAATAAGAGGGTTGCTGAGGCACACCCCCTTTCTTTCCACAAACAGGATTAGTGCAAGAACTTGACTGCGACTTTCCCCCAGGCACTTGAGAGAAGCAATACCCAAACCACTCATAGGGGAACCAGCGGCAATTTGGGGGGGCGCGGGGGCTGGAGAATAAAGTCTTATAGGAATTCCACAAAAGGTGCCACCAGCACGCAGGCAGGTGGGCTGAGCTTGTTGCCTTACCTGCTTCTCCACGCTGTGATGCGGTTCAGCGCGTACCGCTGCAATTTATGGTCATCACAGAACAGATATACCGTCACCTGATCCCACTCGGCCTTACTGAGCCAGGCGACTACGATGCGCTGAGCCCAGAGAGGCGACAAGCTTTTCTCTTTGACGCACTTCCCACACCACGCACTCCACACGCGATCCATTCCCCCGAAGATCCAGACCTGACCCTGCCCCGGATTCCCACTACACACTCGGCTAGACGCCAAGCCTGTACCGCGGCACTTCACAGAACCTTCAGCTCAACGTGCTAGCCTCACTCCAAACCGCCACCGCGACAGCAGCCAATGGGAGAGTGTGAGTCCCGACGCAAGCCCTCCTCCCAGCGTTAGCGTGACAAATCGGAACGTGAGAGCTGGGGACCAACCGAACAACATTTTGAGGGTACGGTCTCGTCAGCCGGAAGTGTTCTTTTCTCAAAGCAACTGTACCAGCTACAAGCCTTCAGCCTCAAGGTTCCGCTGATTTCCTGGTTGCTAACGGGTCTCTGTCCCAGATCCGGAGAGATGTGTCTGGAGCGCAGGAGAAATTTTAGTTTGCGCCCCCTGGCGGCAAAGGAGGGATTGTGGTTGTCCTATGTACTGGAAATGCGCTTATGAAGCAAGAGTACAGAGCAAATATCTAATACCTAAATATCTAAAGTTGAGTTGAAAAATCTGCTGGGTTTTCACATCTGTACAATGATGGGCTTAGAATGGGTGATCTCTAGGTTCTCTTCCATAGCTGAAAACTGGAAGGACTTGACTCTGCCAGCATTCCACTGCTATGTTGGTTTCACCTTCCACAAAAATATACTTAATATTCCTGGATAATTCCTTGGAATTCTGCAGTTCTGTGAGGAAAGCAATTTTATGAAAGCCTTCTGATTTTACAGGTTGGCTAAAATGCGTTCAGGACTCTGTCCCAATCCTCATAGAAGTTATTTTCCAATCTAATACTGGAGAGAGAGTTGTTAGCAACCTGAGCATCACTGCTGTGAGTAGGCTCTTTTTTCACTTTCAGCAACAAATTCCAATCCATTCTCCATATGTGCTTCTTTCTCCAGCCAGATTCTCCTAAGATGTAGTCTGTCCATGGTTTTTGAATGATGGTTACTCTGTCCTGAGTAGTCATGCCAACGAGTTGGGCAAGTATCTGCCAAAAACCAGATACACTTTCAACTTCAGGATCTCACATTTCTGGAAGTGAGAAGTCCAAAATCTGTATTATTTGGCTGAAATCAAGCTGCTGGCAGGGCGGTAGTCCCTCTAGCTGCTCTAGGGGAAAATCCATTCCTTGTCTTTTCCAGCTTCTTGTAAGTACTGGCTTTCCTTGACTTATAGCTACATCACTCCAATGTTCAAGGTCTGCTTCTGTCTTTCTGCTCTGTCTTCACCTTTTCTCTGTGTTTGTAAGACCTTCCTCTGCATCTCTCTACTACATGTGATTACATTTAAGGCCAACCTGAATAATCCAGGATAATCTCCCCATTTCAAGATCTTTAATTTGATTATAGCTGCAATTAGATTTAGTTTAAAATTTACTTTACCTCATAAGATAATATTATTTTCTCTTATTTATTTATTTTACCATATAACTTAACATTCACCATTTCCAGGGGTTATGATGTGGATGTCTTTTTTTTAGCGGAGGGGGGTGATTTCTTCAGCTTACTACATACAGGCACATGCTCAATAATCCTAAGAATTTCTAGGCATGTGGTACTGCAGGACACCTTCAGCTGTACCAGTGGGCTTGAATTAAACAAGCATTCTCCAAGTCTAAGACATAGCCTATGAAATCTTGAAATTGGTCAAATTTGTCTTCAGACTACAGCTTCTCCTTGTTTGTTTCACCATTCCCCTCCCTATAACTCCCACTTTATGCATCCCACTGATCTAAGGCAGTCCTGAGGCCCCTACTGAGTACATACCTATCTGTTGATGCCCTTCAAGTCTACAGCTCTGGTCCTAATCTTTCTCTGGAGCTCCAGATCCATTTAATCAATTGCCTGTTGCACTCAATATCAATCTGTTCAAAAGTAAAATACTTTCACCCAGCCAGTATGGCTCAGTTGGCTGAGCATAGTCGCATGCATCAGGAGGTTGCCAGTTTGATTCCAGGTACGGGCACATGCCCAGATTGCAGGCTCGATCCCCAGGGGTTGGCCGGGTGCAGGAGGCTAGCAGATCCATATTTCTCTCTCACTGATGTTTCTATCCCTCTCTCTGAAATTAATAAAAACATATTTTTAAAAATTTTTTTTAATAAAATACTTCCCCCATAAATCTGACCCCTCTATATCCTTTGATCCCAGTAAATGTCAACACTGTCCACGCAGTCATCCAAATTTCAACCTCTGAACTCAGTCAGCTTGGTCTTGAATTCTGGTTTTACCACTTACTATATGTGAAAATTTGAACAAGTTATTTAACTTCTTTATGCCTAATTTTCTTCACCTGAAAATGCAGAAAAAAAGGGCACTTACCTCATAGGACTATTGTATGGATTAAAAAGATAAGTATGACAGTTTTAGTACCATGCATGTAAGTACTTGAAATATTAGCCTATATTGTTATTAACATCCTTCACTATTCCACCTCCTCCCTCACCTCTTGCTTCCCTTTCCCTCAATTATATAATCCGCCTAGTAAATTCTACTTACTATCTTTTTAATCAGTCTTTTCCATGACAGCCTCATGGCCACTGTGCTAGTTCAGGCTTTGGTCCCCTCTGGATCATGTACTACCTGCCTAACTGGTCTCCTGCTTCCATCCCTTACACAGCAGAGAAGGGGTTTCATAAACTAGGACCTCATCTTGTTAGAATCATCAATTCTTGGACTGTTTGCCTGAAACAGTAGGCATTAAACGGCTTTTCAAGAGTTTTGACAATTTGGCTCAAAACTACCTCATGTCTAGTTACTCCTTGTACTCCATTGAAGTTACAGCCAATTTCTGAATATGCAAACCTCTTCTAAGCCTCTATGTCTTCGTCTATTATGTTAGTACTATTTAGAATGCTCTCCTTTCCTCCCTCTTTCTAGCAAACCACTATTTATCTTTTAAGATTCAGGATTCTTTGTCAAATCTAGTTCTCCCAGGCAGAGTAAATCTGTCAGATTCTCCTCCCTATGGATATAACCTGAGTAAAATCATCTCCTGCATTTCCTGAAGCATTTTGTGTTTCACAATTTTGTGTCCTCACAATCCTGTGAAGTTGGCTTTGTTTGACTCAGTTTACAGGTGAGAAAATGAACTTCAGCTGCATAGCCTAAGATGGCACCATTAGGAAAGGAGGGAGCCCTGGCTAGTTTGTCTCAGTGGTTAGAGCACCAGTGTGAGCACCAAAGGGTCATGGGTTCGATTCCCTGTCAAGGGTACATACCTGGGTTGCAGGTTCGATTCCCACCCTGGTCAGGGCATGAGCAGGAGGCAACCAATTGATGTGGCTCTCTCACATCGATGTTTCTTTCTCTCTCTTCCCTTCCTTTCTCTCCCTTCCACCCTCTGTAAAAATCAATGGGAAAAAATATCTTCGGTGAGGATCTAAAAAAAAACAAAAATAGAAAGAAGGGAAATGCAATTCCCTCCCAAGTCTGTGGCTCTGAAGCTTAGGCTCTTTCCATAACACTCAGACAGTGGCTGTTTGTTTTTGTTTTTTTACCTCTTTACAGGTCTGCTTCAGACCATGAGAACTTCAAAAGCAGGGACATCCAGGGCTCCAATTAACCTTAATCCTTGTTTGCTGAATGAATTCCTGAGTAAACCATGTCAACCCCCACTAAGGTAGTATTGCAGTGTTTTTCAAACTTTCTTTTTAACCCAAGTCTCTTTTTGAGAAATAAGAAAAACAAATGTGAATGGCTGAAACTCTGAGCCAAAGGAGAATTCATATGTTTTAACTTTTCACCTTTAAAAAATTTATTTTAGAGAGGGAGGAAGGGGGAGAGAAAAGGATGACAGAGAGAGAGAGAGAGAGAGAGAGAGAGAGAGAGAGAGAGAGAGAGA